AACTAGGATAGTTTGCCAGAATCTCAAAAACATATCCTAAAGATTCTGGGTTTGTACATTTTTTTCAAGCTTTATTGAAATATAATTAACATGTACACCGCTGTTTAAAATTTACAGTGTGTTGATTTGTTACATTTATATATTGTACAATAAAATGGTTATCTCCACAGTATTAGTTAATACCTCCACCCCATCACAAAATTACCTTTGTGAGCGTATGTGTGTGTGTGTGTGTGTGTGGTGAGAACATTTAAGATTTACCCTTTCAGCAACATTCAAATATATATTACAGTATTTTTAGGTATAATAACCATGCTGAGCTAATGATCCTCAGAACTTGTTAATATAAATTATTTCAGGAGGTGTGGGTGGCTCTGTTCTCGTGGATGGCTTTTGTAAAACATTGTGTAGAAGCAGTCATTTAATTTGTCTAAATTATTTCTCAAATTACAATTAATTAAGATGTCTATCAAATGACAGTTGTTGAGTTCTCCAATCTCATGGAGAATTTAGAAAACACAAGGGCAAATAAAATCTTTTCCCTTCCAATCCCATCATTCTTTAAAATACTGTTTAATTGGGGAGGGCCCCTGCCTGGACCCCGAGCTGCTTTCCCAGGGAATTCGGTCTCCCAGCCGAGTGCGCCGGCCCCACTACGGCGGGATTGGATCCCCCGCGCCCGCCCCCGCCCCGCCGCTTCCTGGGGAGGAGCGGGAATCAATGACCAGCCCTGGTGGGCGCGCAGCCGGATGAGCGCAGCCCCGAGAACCGAGCGCAGGGCCCGCCCCACCCCCCAACCCCCGAGTCCCCCGCCCTCCCCGCCCGCCGCATCCAGCGCGAGGGACAAGCGCCTCCGGGCTCGGGGGCGGCGGCGCCGAGCAATCCGGGCGGGCCGCCTCGCCGGTGACATCACTCGCAAGGATACTCCGGCTCTTGGCGCCGCCTTCACCAAGCGGCCGTCTGTCCGTCCGTGCGCTGCCGTCCGCTGCTGGAGCGGGTCCTCGTTGGCCGGGACAGAGCCGGGCAGCGCGGAGCGACAGGACCCGAGGAGCAGGGAGAGCGGAGGCAGCGAGGGAGGGAGGACCCGCGCGGACGACAGCATGAAATTGAGCCCCACGCGCTGCTTGCTGTCCCTCCTGCTGGCGCTGGTCCTCAGCACCAGGTGAGTCAGGAGTGTGAGCCACGCGAGCCCAGGGGCGCTGCAGGTGCGAGTTGGTCCTCCCGCAGGTCACCTGTGAGGGCCAAGGACGGACACGTCAGCTCTTTGCATCTCCTGCTTCAGAATCAGACCCTTGGGTGAACCCAGCCCATTTCATTTGCCCTGGCCCCTCTTGTGAAGAGTCAGTACTTTAACTAGGGAGGGACCAAAACGGTCAAAGGCACGTTGCCCTCCAGCCTTGGTAATAACAGATAACAGAGAGACCAAAATAAAAGAAATACAGAGACAAAGAATTGTCACCAGGCATGTTCTCACAACAAAGCTGTCTCCTTAGTCTCAGAGAATCTTCTCTGCCCTCAGCCTCCACACACAGGGACCTATTTTAGGATACAAAGAGACAGAAAAAGCCTTTAGCGTAGGAGATGCTGACCCCACATAATAAAGTCCCTGGACTCTGGCACTGACTGTTCCAAGGACTTTGGTTATTAAGAGAAATGTCCATTTCACTGTCTTCTGATTTGGGAGTCATTAAAAAGGCACTCAGCAATTAAAAGTTTGAGGACAATTACAGAGCCCTGGTGCAGATGCTAACATTCGGAAACATCAAAATATTTATTTTCCTAATTAAATATAGATGTGACATTTTGGGAAATACTATGCCTACAATAAAATGCACAGATTTTAAGTGTGCAGTTATTTGAGTTTTGACAAGTGAAGAGACTATGTAAATACTACCTAGTCAAGATACAGAGCTTGGAAATCCCCTTCAGAAAGCTCTGTATGGTTCCTTTTCAGTTAACTGCCTTCTCTTCCAAAAAAAATAATTTCTGTTGTTCATCACCATACATTCACTTTGCCTGCTCTAGAACTTCATGTAAATTGAATCATGTTATCATGATAACAGTATGTTATATTTTATGCCCAGTATCTTTAACAAGCTTTTAGATTTGTCCATGTGGCTGCATAAGTCAGTAAATAGTTCATTCCTTTTTATCACTGAGTAATACTCCGTTGTACTGATAAACAGAAATTTATGTATCATTCATCTGTTGATGAACATTTGGTTGCTTCCAGTTGTTGGGTATTATAAATAAAGTTGCTTTGAATATTTTTGTAAAAGTCTTTCCATGAATTCAGGTTTTCAATTCCCCTGTGTAAATGTGTATGAGTTCAGTTCCTGGGTTAGAAGAACCAAGTCGGAGGATTTATGTTTAAACTGGGGGAGAACTTGAGGCAGGTAACAGAGATGCAGGCAGATAGAGTTCAGAGCCCCTGTAAGTTTCAAGAAGTTTCAGGGACCTTGTAAGTTTCAAGAAGTTCCAAACTCAGCCAATCAAAATTGTGCTGTTAGATAGACCTCAGCTCTGATTGGTTATGCCCTATGCCAGCTGACTGATTATGCCCTGTGCAAATGAAGCATTGTACTTTTAGCCTATCAAGAGTGGATTGTGATGTCATCAGTTCAGTTCTCTATTTGATCCAGGGAGGGTGGGAATTTCTCCTCCCAGGAGGCAATATAAATCCCAGACTGCAC